TACGAGTGGGGTGGGGCCGAGGGGGGATTCTGGACCCTGGCTCAGACCCTCTTCTCATAGACCTGAAGGTTCCAGAGGTGGTTCTACCCTCGAGCCCTTCCCCCACTTACTTTCCAGGCGCTGACCTCTGCGTGCTCACGCGTGCACGCACCCCGCGGCACCCACACACATCCGCACTTGCCCACTTCCAAAATACCCAAGTTCCCACCGCTCGCCCCTCATGCTACACTCACCCTGACCCCCACCCTCGCTCACCCCACTCCCTGTCCCACCCCTTCCTTCTGGCTGGGGCTGGGTACCTGCAGGTCTCCCTTTGACATTTGCATTTGTGTTTCTAAAAACAATCGCTGTTGGAACCATCCAGGACTACTGCCCTGGGGTGTGTCGCTGGGTCACGGCTGCTGGTGGACCAGCTTTACCTAATTGCAGAGTCGCAGAGTCGCAGGTCCCTGCCCTTCCAAGGGCCCTGAATGACCGCAGCATTTGACAATCGGTCCATTGTTTCCAGGCACCATTTATAACTCAGGAAGCTCTCCTGGGGTTTACCGGCATGCAAAATAACACCTCGGCCACCAACAGGCCAAATAAGGGCAAACACGTTCTTAGGCCTGAGAAAAGTGCCGTGCACCCAGTGGGGCTGAGTTTCCCTGAAATATGTTCCTGGCAGAGGGGTGAGTATAGTCAGAAAGCAAAAGGGCCCTGAGTGAAACTAAGGGTGTGTGTGTGTGTGTGTGTGTGTGTGTGTGTGTGTGTGTGTGGTGCGCTGTTACAGGACTTATCAGAGCATTTAATATGCTAATGTGTCTCACAAACTCTGTGGGGGCGGGGGGGGGTGGCTAGAATGTATGGTGTTCCCAACGTTTCGCCCCTTTGTTCACTGTATCTTGGAAGATGAGCGTTTCCACTTTGAGAAACACTGCTCTCAGCCACGGGAAAAATGTCAAGTATCCTCTTGGATCTTTCACCGACTGTGTAGCCTGACGGTCCATTAAATGAGGGGAGGGGGTGTTTTAGAGATACTGATATTGCTCAGCTTTTTATTTTCCCAAGACATCAAATAAACCAAAGGAAAACCCAAACAAGATCTCTCTGATGTATTGTCACCATTATTTTATAAAAGGCTGGCTACTCACCAAAACACAGAGGGCAGCCATAATTTGAGGAATAAAAATTAAGATACCTGATATTTTTCTCATTCTTGCGCAGCCCAGGGCATGCTTGAAATGGTCTGGCATGAGCCCAGGCACAAGCGTCCAGGGACCATCAGCCGGCTCGGCGCTGAAGTCCCAGGCTCCGCGGACCGACGCTGGGCTTCTGACCCCAGCTTTCCCACTCATTGACCCGGACCTGGGCGGCGTTGCCATTCGGGGTTGTCCTGCTGTGCTCCAGATGCTAGTGCTATGTCTGCATGTCCCCGGGCAGCCCTTAGCCAGGACTGTCTGGTGTAGAAGTACGAATCCTGATATCCCTCAGTGTGAGCGAGGAGGTGCACCTCGCAATCTGCAGGGTCAGGCCAAGGCTAGGACCTTGCCTGAAATTGCTCCTCGCCTGTCTTCTCCCCCCACCCCCTTGTCCCTCTCCCCTGGGAATGCTTCCTTAATAAACAGCTTTCAAGTGGCTCCTCTCCTCAGTCTGCTTCTGGGAACAGTTACCTTATACAAATCTCTGAGCCTCAATTTCCTCAGGCGTCCTATACGGACGATAATCACATCCTCCCTCAAGTGAAGTCTTAGGGGAGATGATGTGTGTGAGCCATTTAGCACAGAGCGCAGCTCAGAAGTCAAGAGAGGCTGGTATGTGCTGTCGTTATTAGGTTGTTGCTGGAACCTATATGTCTTTGGGGTTCCCAGCAGCTCTCTCCGGCTCACAAGCACGGGTGATCAGTTTCATACAAGAGAGGCCGGCTGTGCGGTCATGGCGCACCTGCGGTCACTTTGCCCGGAAGCTGTGGACCCAGCATCTTCCCCGCCGCCTACATGGACAGGACAGACATACTCCCAAGACAGGGGCTTGGCATCAAGTCTCCTCGAGCGCTGGGCTCCTTTCCCTCTGCCTTTTCATTTAATAGAACAGAGCTTCGGACGCCTCCAACAACACCCCTGAGGATTTCGATTTATTCCATTGTTTTAGCTTTTTCCACCGACACCCGATTCCGTACCAGCAGCTCTGTAACGGAACACGGCCCCGCTGGGTTTGGGAGAGTGCGGATGGGCATCATCTCCGCCATATTCTAGTGCCCTCCGGATTCTTTTTTCTATGTGATATTTTCTAATCCCAGTGAGATTTTCTTTAAAAAACAAAAAAAGAAAGAAAGAAAAAAAAATCAGATCCTGCTTCAAGAACAAGAGCTGGAAGTTCTAGAAGAAACAAGACATGGCTGATAGCACCTCCTTTCCTCACACCCACTCTCACTACCCTGGTGATTCCTGAGGAGGGACCTCCACGGAGGATCTTCATACACCCTCCCATCTGGTAGGCTAGGCACCAGGGCAAAGCTATGCCCTGTGCCCGGGGCTTCATACTCAGCACCCACCTCCCTACCCCCCGGAACGCTCAGAAGCTGTGCCGTCTGATAGGGTAGCCACTAGGCACGAGTGGTTATTTAAATTTAATGAATTAAATTAAATACAATTTGAACATCAGTTTCTCCACCCTGCCTAGTGCTAGCCACGCGTGGGGAGGGGCTCTCCCCTTCACGTCCACAAGTCCCTCATGGCAGGAACTGAGTGCTGCCTGAGATGGCTCCATCGTCACCCCTGCATTACGGCGAGGAAATGGAGGCCCAGAGTCGTGCCTCTGTGTGGCCGAGCCCGGGTGGGTGCCCAGGACGCTTTCTTCAAACCACCAGACCGCACCGAGTCTCCTACAAGCGCCCAGCTCATTGCCACTCGGTGATATGTCACGGCTTCTCACAGGAATATCCTCTTGACTAGTGACATTCACTCACTGCCAGGGGCCAGGGTGCGGTCACCTGACCTCAGAGTCCTTCCCCTGCCATCCCGAAGCCCCAGTCTGGGCCCACGTCACCTGCCCACGTTGGCCGAGGAGGCCCCGTGGCTGACAGCCCAGCCAGCTGCCTGCTCCCTTCTCGGCTTGACAGGGCAGGCCGGCCGAGTCACGGGCTCGGCCCCTCCCAGCCCTCGTGGGCTGGGCCTGCGCCAGGGGGTGCCTGCCGCCGGGCTGCCTGCACGTCAGACACAAAGCAGACCACGGGCCTCACTGAGGATTTGACCGAAGAATATTCTGGAATCCCACATTCCATCTGGAGCATTCCAAGGGACAGACCCAGCAGGCAGGCTGTGTGGGGACCTGTCCCACCTGGGAATGGTAACATAATAATTATTGCTACATATCGTCATGGTTAATTATTATAATGTACGAGTTTCCTGTGCACAGGGACCTGGCCACGCGGTTCACTGCTATATGCCCAGTGCCTTTAACAGTCCCAGGCACATAGTAGGTGCTCAACAAGTTCTTTTGTTGAATAAGTATGTAAACAACAACAGTTCCTTCTATTTGTCGAGGGGTTACTCTAAGGAATGACATTTTTATTTGTGTGTTTTTTTCATTTATTGTCTGTTCCTTTATTGACTGACGATTTTGTCTGCCATTAAACCCCAGCACGGTGACCCACACATAGTAGGTGCTCAGTAAATGTTGTTGAGTAAAGAGGTGGACGCTGGGCTGTTTCTCATCTACCCTCACCCAGCCCGGGGGGAGGCAGTGTTCTTTAGCATATTTGGGGGATGAGACCTGGAGACCTGGAGAAGTGAACTGACCTCTGGGTGAAAGTCACGGCGCGGGTGAGGTGCAGAGGCAGGATTCAAACCCAGGCCCATTACTGCAGAGCCTGCATGTGCTCTTTGCCGCTGGGTCCTGCTAACTCCGGCCGAGAGAGGAGAGGGCAGGGGTGGGGGCCTCTCAGAAGGACAACTCAGACAAAACAGGGACCACTTTGGCACTCCCCAGTCCTGCCTGGTGAGTCCCAGTCACACAGCCCTTCCAACGGGGCGTCCCATTTGGTGTACATGGCAGCAAAGCCCAGAGAGGTCGAGTAACTTGCTCAAGGTCGCACAGCAAGTTCAGCACAGGTCTTCTGACTCCAGGCCCAATTTTTAAATTTATTTTCCCTTGACCGCCAGCTCTGATTCAAACCTGGAGCCCTGATACATGCAGAGATGCTCGGGAGCCAGGAGAGATGGCTGACGTTTCAGCGGTGGACTTGGGTTTTCCTGGCAGTGAGGCCCAGCACCTCTGGGGGCCAATCCAAATTCCTGGCTTTGCTGCGTGGCCTTGAGAATGGGCTTCTCCCCTCTCTGGGCCTCAGTTTCCTTATCTAAAAAATGATGAACCACAAAGCAGGGGGACATTGGGGCCCCTCCCCTGGTCCCTTTGCAGCAAGAGACGAAGGCCCTGTTTAGCCACGCGGCTGCCTGTGCTCCTGGAATGAGTGGCTGCTCCGAGCCTGTGTATCTTCATCTGCAAAATGGGGTTAAAAAATACCCACCTCTCAGGGGGTGAGAGGTTTCCTGGGAGACAGTGTGGGCATCGTGCGGGGCCTGGCTTATAGTAAGTGGTCAATAAAGGATGGCTGGCGGGCTCCATTGGGACCACAGAGGGTGGCCCTCCTCAGGGTCCAGCGAGCCCAGCCGGGCCACCGCAGGCCCTCCTGGCTGCCCCTGACCAGCTGGGGTCGGGGGAAACCTGAGCCACTGTCCCGGGTAGACGCTGCTGCTGCTGCCCCTGCCTCTGAAATGAAAGAAAGGTCAGAGCCTGGGGAAGCAGGGCCGGGTGTGCAATGGAGGTGGTGGCCGGACGGGAGGAGGGTGGCCGGCGGCTGCCCCACTGACCTTATCTCTCCCCAGGAGGCCCGAACCAGCCAGGCCTGGGTCCACCCAGGGCTTGGCCTCCCAGCCTAGAGGAGTCTCCTCCCTGCCTGCCCCTGGGGAGGGGCCACCTGGTGTCAATTAAACCCCAGCCACGCGGCACACCACGCGGGGCAGCTGATTAGTGCCGCTGGCCTCTCCAGATGGGGAGCGCTGCCTGAGGGGGAGGCTGCCACCGCGCCAGGGGGAGGCCTCAGCGGAGCCAGTGAGTACCCGGGCGGGGCTCTGCTCCCCAGGCAGCGGGCCTGGTGAGCTGGCTGGGGCGCCTGGGGAGGGGGCTTGTCGTGTGGTTTGCTCCCCTGGGAGCGTTATGGGGCTTCCCAGCATCTCTGACCCTCTTTGCCTCGGCCTTACTTGAAGGGAACCCAAGGGGACCAAATGCCAGCCCAGTGTCCTTCTCCCAGGATCATACAGCTGCAGGGGCCGCCCCCAGACCGTGGCTAAAGGGAACCTAATGGGTAAATGGAGGGCCAGCAGCCCAGACGGAGGCTCTCGGGTCCCGACTGTCTCCTCGCTGTCCCCAGTGGAGCTGGCTCTCTGCACCGGCCTTTCTAAGCATCCAGGGCCGTGCCCTCCACCCTGCCAGCCCGGGCTGCGGGGTGGCCCGTTTGGTGGACTGGCATGAGACCCCTGCAGGAAACAGCTGTGGGGAGGCCGCTGCACTGAAGGCTGGGAGCTCGGGAGGAGGCCGTGTCCTGCAACACGGCCGGGGGCCGCGAAGGGCTCTGGCTCAGGACCCACAGAGCTTCTGGGGACACCGGTCCAGTCTGCAGGCTGGGCCCCTCCGCAGGGTGTGAACCGCCTCCTGGGTCCCAGTGGGGAGTCGGTCCCAGCAGTGGCAAAGGACGGGGCAGCTGCCTGTCCACGGCACAGAGTGGGGGGTCAGAGAGAGGGGCAGCCCCAGCACCTCCAGGCAGCGAGGAGACTTGTCTCTGGGCCTGCACTGGGAACGCTGAGCCTCAGCTCCTGTCTAATAGGGGTTCGGTTATCCACGGAAGGGACCCCTGGTGACAGAGGGTGCTGTTACCTCTTGGCGGTGCCACGAGGTGGTCTGTGGCCACCGTCTGCTTGGGGCAGAGGCAAGGTGTGTTTGGGAGGGGCTGGCGGGGTCTGGGGACACGGAACAAGGCTGGGTGCATGCGTCTGTCTCTGTGCCACCTGGGGCGCCTCTGGAAGATGAGCAGGATCAGCTGTGTGGCCCCTTCGGTGCGTGGCTCCAGCGTGCTGACTGGAGAGGAAGGATGGGCGGCGGGCAGAGAGCCAGTGTCCGGGAGGGCATGGCCACGTGTCCCCTCTGTGTGTGTGGTTGCGTGGATGCCAAGCGCCGAGCCGACGGGGGCCCCTTGGCAGCCCCTCTGGATCACCGTGCTCTGCTCTCTTGAGCACGGTCCGTCGTGGGGTGAGTGTCTCCCGAGGGCAGCACCGGTGAGCTCCCTGGCGGGCCAGCCAGACGGTCTCCCGGCCGTGCCCCTGGGGACCCTTGCTCTCTCCCAGGCCCCATCGCCCCCATGTGGCCAAGGGCAAGCCAGGCTGATGGCTGAACTTGAGCACTTGGTCCCTGGCACCTGTGTTCATGCATTTGGGGCAAATGGAAGGTGGTGGGGAACCACAGCTGAAGCTCGGCTGCTTTCTGGGAAATAGTGTATCTAGCTCATTTCCGCCGTAAATATTCATTGTGAGCGTCCTCCGGGCTGGGGCTTGGGCTCCGGCTCCAAACTAGGAATGTGAGAGTGAACCTAGAATTCCTTCATTCACTCAAAAGCACTGATGGAGAGACACCTACAGTTCCATGGTGGGTCTCAAATCCATTCATTCCTTTGTGCCTTCATTCACCCCACCATGCGTATCAGGCAGTCCCTGTGCACCCAGCTCTGCGCAGGCTGCAGGCACAGCAGCGGATCTGAGACATGACAACCAACTTTCTCTGCTGTCTGCACACAGTGAGCCTGGATCTGGGAGAAAGACAGGTGCTTAAAGAAGCAGAGGACATTGGGGTCCCTTCCCTGGTCCCTTTGCAGCAAGAGACGAGGGCCTTGTTTCGCCACGCAGCTGCCTGTGCACTTGGAATGACTGGCTTCCCCTGGAGCTGCACCCTGTTGGGAATCTGGGGAATATCCTCACCAGGACAAGAGGGGCTCATGCACGCCCCTGGTTTAACTTCCTGTTACAAAGGGCACTATGGTAACTTTGAGTAATTATCAAGGAAGCCCAAAGCACCTGTTCAGGTAATTAATAAATACTAGAATGTACCCTTATTCATTTGCCAGGAGCCAGGCACTGTGTTTAGCACATTACTGAATTCTTGCCCAACTCTCAGATGGAACCCCTGTTACTTACCCATTTATCAGCTACAGAAACTGAGGCTAAGAGGGGCTAATAACTTGGCCAAGGCCTTTCTGATGCTAAAGCCCATGCTTTTAACCTTTAGGCTAAAACTTTCAAGGTGTTTCCAATTAGATGGGGACACAAAACTTGGACAGGGCAGCTTGAGGGAGGTTGTGCTCCATGTCCATGCAGTAGGTGGATGGATAGAGAATGCGAGGTGGCAGAAGCCTGGTCCGTCTTCGTGGTCTTAAACAGCCCAGCCTCCCTCTGACCCCCTGCCTTTGAGGGCTCTGAGGTCCTTGGGTGAAGCCTGGCGGCGTGCAGGCAGCTGGCAAAGCACTTTGGTGTGAAGTCAAAGCCAGCCGGGGTGCACAGGGCAGGTGAGGATCCCTGGCAGGGGATGGCCGAAGTGGCCTTGAAGGTTGGGAGGGGAAATGGGTAGGAACTGAGAAAGGCAGACGTCTGGGTCGGCGGAGGACGAGGCAGTCGTTCATCCATTCATTCACTCACTCATCCATTCATTCAACAAACATCCACTGAGCTGCTGCCGTGTGTCAGGCATTGGTCTAGGCACTGGGGACACTGGCGATTCTGGAAAACCACGCACCTCCCCTTGGCCGAGAACAGATTCTCTGCAGGGCCTGACCTGGGAGGCCCGTGGCAGTGGAGCAGAGGCTTGGGTGGAAGGCAGGAGAAATGGCTTCTTCATCCAGTAAACGCATGGGAAGCTCCTGCAGGCCACTTGGTCTGGGTGACCAAGACAAACAGGTGAGGTCAGGTTCTCTGGAAGCAGAGCCTGAGAGGTGACGTTCTGTGCACACGGCGTCCAGGAGGAGTCCTGTCTAGGAGGGGCTTGGCAAGGCTGGGGTCTGGCGCTAGGTGCCGCGACCTGACTGCCTGGGGACTTCTGGAGCCTGAGCTGCGTGGCTGAGTTGATCCCACCTGCCACGAGGGGGCAGGCCTTTGGTATTTTTCTGTCAGCTGGTGGCCGACACAGGCTGTCCCCAGCTGGGGTGAGGGGTGTCTCAATTTTCCCAGCAAGCCAATGTTCTTATGTAAGGCAATTCTCCAGACAGAAAAAAAAAATAGGCCAGCAGCTGGTGAATGGGCATATTGGCCTGGCAAAGGCCACCTGGGCAAGGGACCAAAATCGTCTCCAGTGCTGCCCCTGAGTCGTTCCTGGTCCAGCCAGGGAGATAGGTGCTGGGCAGGTGAGGACCATGGAGAGGGTGACTTGCCCCAGTGGAGAAGCACAGGGCAGAGGGTGCGCCAGACCCAATGTGGGAATCAGGAGACAGGGAGTGGAAGAGTTTCGGCCCTGGGTTCAAGTCCTACCTTTGCCACTTGCCGGCTGCTGACCTCCAGCCAATACTTCCTTTCGAGAGCCTCTGTTCACTCTGTTCTAAGACGTAGATGTGCCTTGCGTCTCCCTTGTAGACCGGTCAGCAGCATTTGTGTGTGAACCATGTAGCCGGGCTCCCGGCACGCGGTTGCCACTGGGGCGATGCAACAGCAGTGTCAGTGGCTCAGGTGACAGGGCGTCTGTGTCCCGAGGCACACCAGGCCCTCTCCTGCGAACTCCAAAGGAGGCTCCAGGACGTGAGCCCGAGGTGGCTGCCAGCGGCAGGTCCCGAACGTGGCCCGTCCTGTGGGTCCTCCAGGAGGAGGAAAGGTGGGACATGTGTGGATGGGGCAGAGTTGGCTCGGGAAGGGCCTGGGGCTTAGCTGAGAGCTTCAGTGGGGCAGGCCTCCCCGCACCTGCCCACCCCTCAGTCCCAAAGCCAGACCATCTCCGTCTCCAGGTTCCACCCACCCTTCCACCCACCCACCCATCCACCCACGTACCCATCCATCCATCTCTACCCATCCATCCATCTCTACCCATCCATCCGCCCATCCATCCATCCAACAAATATTTCTTGAACGTGAATTATGTACCAGGCACAGAGGATGCATTGTGAATGAGACAGAAGGGACCCCTATACTCATGGAGCTCAGAGTTCATGAGGGAGGCCATCAAATACCAAGGAGAGGGGACAAAAAAAAGGGACATCGCCAAGAGGTCAGGAGGATGAAAGCATTGAGTGGTTTCTGGGCAACGGGGGCAGAGGCCTGGAGGCGGGTCTGCGAGGCTGTGAGCTGGCCGGGGCGACAGAGCACATGCTCCGCTTTAACCAGAAGCCAGCTGGGAAGGGAAGGGGCAGGGATCTCCTGGAGCAACCACCGAACTGGAGGAACATAGTGTGTGTGTGAGGGTGTGTGCGTATGACGATTTGCATGTGTGCAAGAGTGTGTGTGAGTGTGTATGTGTGTGACGCAGCATCTGTGGGGCATGTGTGTAGGACGGGTTGTGTGGGAGTGTATGTGTGAGGTTGCATGTACTTAGTGGTGTGTATATGTGTGTGCAAGGGTGTTTATGAATGAGTTGCATGTGCAGTGTCTGTATGGGTGCATGTGAGGGAGTGTGAGGACACGCGTGTGGGAGACGGCGTGAAGGATGCTGTGAGGGGCATCTGTACCTGTGAGTGTGTGTGTGTGTGAATGTACCCGAGAGGGTGTATGTGTGTCAATGTCTGCATCTGTGAACATGTGTGACTGTATGTATGTGTCGTGTATTTTTTCCTCCAATTCCAGGGTCTCAGCATGAGAGCCTTGAAGCGCCTTCAGTCCAGCCTCTCTCCCACTCCCCGATTTGTCTGAGTAACAACCCCACCTCGCACATGCGCCGCACTCTACAGTTTGCACGGTCCTGCTCTTTATTCCAGGGGGCCCTCGCAGTGGCCCTGTGAAGACGGCTTCGTTCCATTTGACAGATGTGGACCTTGAGGCCCAAGGGCCCCCGGGCGGTGGCGGCAGTGCCTAAGTCACAGCAGCTCATCT